GGCCACTTTCAGCCCAACCAAAAGTGAGTTGTCTTAACTCTGGGTATAAAGGGACTCTGACTCTACTATTGATGAAACGCGATTCAAGGTAGATTAACACGGACAAGTTGAAAATTTCCCATGAGCCTCAGTACGTGTCACATGACCTCGTGACGTCGGTTGAGGGGCCCGTTAGACCACACTATTCTCAACTTCATGAATGTATTGCTCCATTTAAACAGCAAAATACAATCACACATTGACATTGGTAGGTAATAAGATCCTCGGGAACAATTAAATTATCTCTAAAACTTAATAAACGTATTATTACCAAACCGGAGCAACATAACCAATAAATCACCAACCAATCACAATAGTGAAAGCATAAAAATGGCGGTCGTTAAGGGTCACTAGAGAGCCAATCAGAGGCCGGATTTTCAACTTGTCCATACCTGTGTAAATCCACCTTGAACATTCCTGGCCATTGGAGAATACGCGTGAGAGTGTGTGGGTAATATCCCCCAAGAACAAAGGGAAGCCGCTGGGCAACGTTTGGCGGGTTGCATCTTTTCACTCCTTTCCTGCCCTAGAGTCCCTTTATACCCAGAGTTAAGACAACTCGATTATCAGCTGACTGACAGCCGGCCTTGGCTGGCCATGGAGGCCGAAACGAGTGAACCCAAACGAACGATATTGAGGGATAAGGATCAGGAATCCTGCGATGTCTGTCACACAAAAACAACAACATCAACAAAGTGATCAATTAAAAAGAAAATGAGATTGGTTTGTGAATAATTTCTTAATCTGTTTTCATTTTGGACCGATGGCAATAATAATTTACTCTTGATAAACCACAATTAGGTGATATTTTCATTATTCTTGTTCACATTCGAGGTACCGCCATCTTGGTGCACTCGTTTCGGCCTCCATGAGCGAGAACCAATCAGAATTGGATTTTTTTTTAGGCCACTTTCAGCCGAACCAAAAGTGAGTTGTCATAACTCTGGGTATAAAGGGACTCTAGATTCCTGCCCTAATTCCATACAGTGACATACATTTAATAATTTTTTCCTTTATTTAAAATGTGATTCTGTCGAAAAAATTTGTTTCTTTCGATAAAACTATCCATAATATTCAACTGAAAATTCCACGCCCGGAATAAATTCACTTTCTCAAGTAAAAAAATCAACTATTTTCAAGTCCTCCCTATACGATCCCGTGTGTTCTCCGCAGTTACGAACATTTAACCTCGAACCCATGACCAGGCATAGAGAAAAAAAAGGAGGTGTTTGCATTTCGGGCATCTTGGAATATTTTGATGACTTGATGACGTAGGTGGGTACAGTGTGAAGGGGACGTCCCTGTACCTAGCTGTACCCACCTACGTCATCAAGTCATCAAAAAATTCCAAGATGCCCGAAATGCAAACACCTCCTTTTTTTTCTCTATGATGACCAGGTATGGGTAGATGGTATTGCTTGAACGCGGTTTGTAAACTTCTCTGTTGACGGAACCACTTTATTTTTCCTTTCTTTAGAAGGAAGTTACTTGATTGCTTATGGATCAACCTCGTCGTTTGCAGTTCGTAATTCTAATTCCCTTCACCTCTCACCGTTTCGTCTCGAAGCACTCCTGAACGCGGTGTTTCAATTAAGATACATACCCAACGTAAGTTTCAGTGTCAGTTCGTTCATGTAACTCCTCTCATCGCTCCTCGGAATTTCACATTGTCCCACGATCGAAAGTTTCTGTCAGTCTGTAGCCCTCGCTGCTGATTAAGCCGCGTGGGAAATATCAGTATGAACTGCAACACATCCCCCAGCCCTGACTTCCAAATCCAATATTATTCTTGTGTGTAGTGAAAGTGGAGGTACTCGTTATCAGTTAGGTAAATCACCATCCACAGTAGCTTAAATTTTTATTTTTTTTAATCATTACAATGGATTCATAAGACTGCAGCCTCTATTTATATCTGTCTTAGTGTTGATTGCATTGTTTTTGTTTTGCAAGGTAATCAAATTACCAGCAAAATGCCTCAGTTTGCTAGTAAAGATGAAGAGATAACATACTGGAAGGAGCGCAGTGATGAGTTAGATAAAGAGTTGGAAGAATTCCGTGAGCAATCTCACATGTTAGAGAAAGAACTCGAAGCATCGTTGGAGCAAGCAGACAGAACTATCAGAGATTTACGGATCAGGAATAATCGATTGCAGCTTGAAAACGACACCCTTCGGGTAAGTGAAAGTATTCTTTGTAACTGTTTCTCCTGTCTGACAGTCTTGAGTTCTCAACCTCTGCTCAGATATTGTTCATGCATAATGAATACGAGCTGTCTTGAGGTCAGCTACTCTACCCATGTTTGTTAAGAAGCAATTCAATATTTGTATTCATGTCAACATAACCTCTGCTTGCCACTAAATGTTCTGTGAACATTTATCACTGTCTACAAAACTAATACAAGGAATGAGAGTGCTATTCAAATATTATTCCTATCAGTATATATAACCAATTCAATCTGGGGTCACCCACTTCAAAGCTCTAATCTCCACTTTAAATCAGAGCTTTGGTGACCATTTCAGTATCTAGAGATGCATTCTGAATCTTGTCAAACTGCGTAAGTACCTAATAGGGTGGAGCGTTTTTGGGCTTTTTTTTTATTTTGAAAATGGACATAGCAGAATAGTTGTGAAATGGTCTAAAAGTAACGCCTGAATTTTCCTGAATTTTTTCGTCAACGTT